GTGTGTGTGTGTATGTATATTATATGTAGGTAGTAGTATATATATATATATATATATATATATATTATTAGGAACATATGCTATATCTAGAACACTCACTCACACACCCACAACAAAACTGCTGACTCTAGTACTGTGCCTATACGTGCCTTCGTGCTCACTCCAACACTTGACCTGTGTAAAGAACAAGCAAAACATACAAACCCTTAACCCTAAACTCTCTGTTCAGATAGCAAAACATACACATGCCGACAAACATATATCCAGAATCAAACACGTACTATTCAGAAATAAGAAAATTATATGTCTACCGATAGAAATATTGCTATATCTTAATATAGAACACCCACCATGTCTTTAAATAGAACAAACTTGCCCATCCTAACACGTAGTCATGAACAACCGCACGACATTGACATCCACGGACATTCATACTACGCTACTTTAGGCCGTAAATCCAAATTCAGATCTCACACTAGTATCGTAGACAGAACACGTACCATTGCTATAAATAGATCACTCCACTGATTACAAATAGAACACATAACATTACTATAAACAGATTACTCACTGACTATAAATAGAACACATACCATTGCTATAAATAGATCACTCACTAACTATAAATAGAACACATACTCATCTTCTCCTCAGTAGCCGACTCCGCTGTTCTGCTTGTGCGTTCCTTCTTACTCATTCCAAAGCGTGACCAGTGCACAAAGTCTGGGCAGAAGTCGGTATCAGGGTCCATGCTCTTCTCGTTGTCATGGCAACTGAGCGCACGCACCTGGAATCGGTCTGTGGCTTGGGTGATTGGGACCGCATAGGTCTGCACAGGGGGAAATAGACAGCTATGAATAGAATGTACTATAAATAGAACACCGCTGTACAGGGGGAAATAGACAGCTATAAATAGAATGTGTTATAAATAAAACACCGCTGTACAGGGAGAAATAGACAGCTATGAATAGAATGTGCTAATAATAGAACACCGCTGTACCGGGGGAAATAGACAGCTATGAATAGAATGTACTACAAATAGACACCGCAGCTTCCCACATCTGAAAGGTATACATATTTAAGAATGTGCTGTATATGGAATGTCACAGTTTTTGTCATCGCGAACGGGTGAAAGTCTGGTGATCGGTACTGCATAAGTCTGTACAAAGACGGCACGATTATCTCTCACTTGTGCTATAAATAGAACCACGTTACATCGGTAGAGAATATAATACAATGGTCAATATACGAAATGAAACATACAAACCCTAAACCCTATTCGAAATAAAACATGTCTGTGATTCAAGCACATGCCATCTCATACGTACGCCGCCACATATTTAATTGGGAACCCTAACAGCCTAAAACACTAAAACCCGAAAGATTATATCAGCCCAAATTCCGAAATATAGTCAGCAGCTTCACCAGTAATACCAGTAAGCGAGCCACAGCGCGGCTATAAATAGAACTGTTCTAAAAATAGAACAATACAAGCAGCACATACCGTTCCAAGGCTCAATGAGGAAGGCTGGATATCGATTATAAAACGCTTCGCACCTATCACAGGCGGGCACTTCGCAATACAGATACAGATGGGACTATGCTTCAAAACAGGACAGTTCCATAAATAGGATCGGTCTATAAATAGGACTGTACTGTAAAAATCAGGACAGTTCCATAAATAGGACCGGTCTTTAAATAGGACTGTACTGTAAAAAAACAAGACAGTTCAATAAATAGGACTGGTCCATAAATAGAACTGTACTGTAAATAGGACTGTTCCATAGTAGGACATACCGCTCCCGGGTCAATGAAGAGGTCTGAGTAGACGGCCTTAGTGTTCTCTGGATATGTGCGGATATTGATGGGACGGGTGAGGTGGTTCACTATGGTCACCGTAGATCGCACATCAATCAATCGATGGTTGTCCTGTATATGTCATGCGAGTGAGAAGTATGCGTTAATTCGTGAACATTCATGTGACCTTTATATATATATATATATATATATATATAATCTGCGTATATATACATAGATATAGCAAAATTCAATTCAGGTATCCAAAATAAACCAGATAAATGTTAACATAACCACGTGTACGAGAAGAATGGTTGTGAATATACAGGCAGCGCGTACTAGTCCCACAACATAATATTATTTAACACATCGTCACATGTATTTCTTTTAGAAAGCACATGTCATATCCAGTTATGGACACTATACCATCACAATTACGGGAGATATATTTGCTGTGGAGCTACTTCGTATACAATCACCAAAGTATAGCCGTATAAAAGCATTTGCAGTATAGCGGTTATCTGGTTCGTTGCTATTGTATCTGATACGTAAAACACAGAGCATGCTCATATATATAAGCATACATATATACATACATACATACATACATACATACATACT